TGAAATGGGCAGATTCCTGAAAAATGTAACTTACTCAAACTGACAGTATAGAAAATCTTAATAATTACATACCTACCAAGAATAGGTTCTGTAATTTACAGTCTTTCTATGAAGAACAAAATGCCAGGTGAAAATAACTTCACCAGTAGATTTACAAAACACTTAAGAAAGAAACAACAGAGACACCTAAGTGGCTTAGTTAGTTAAGTGTCTGCCTTTGGCTGCTATCATGATCCCAGGGTCCTGGGATTGAGCCCCGTGTCAGGAGCCTACTTCTCCCTCTTCCTGCACCTGCTACTCTGCCTATGTGTGCGCTCTCTCTCTCTCTCTCGCTCTCTCTCTCAAATAAATAAATAAATAAATAATAAAGTGTTTGAAATTTTTTTTTTGTTTGAAAAATTTTTTAAAAAGAAAGAACACTAATCTTACACAAACTCCTCCTAAGAATAAAAAAGAAGAAATGCTCCCCAACTCATTAAGTGAGGCTAGTATAACTATGATACTAAAATGTGAAAGGACATTAATATAGATACAATAATCCTAAACAAAACAACAACAAATTGAAACTAGCAATATACATAAAAGAATTAGATCTCCCTACCAGGTTGATTTATTCCAGGAATTTTAGAATATTTGGCCCAAAATTCAAATAGTATATAGTAATACAAGATTTTTTTTTTTGAGATTTTTTTTACTTATTTGACAGAGAGAGTACAAGTAGGGAAAGCAGCAGGCGGAGGGAGAATGACTCGGGGCTTAGTCCCAGGACACTAGGATCATGATTTGAGCTGAAGGCAGCCGCTTAACTACTGAGCCACCCAGGAGCCCCTAAAATCTTAATAATAACAGGAACTGGGTGAAGGGTATATACAAACAACTTTATGAATATCTAAAACTATTCTAGGGGCGCCTGGGTGGCTCAGTGGGTTAAAACTATTCTAAAATAAAATTTTATTTAAAAGTGTAATTCATTGCATTAAAAAGATGAAAAATCATATCTTAGGAGATATAGAAGCAACATTAGGTAAAATTCATCCTTTTGCAAGAGATCCCTTAAATTCAGCTTAGAAAGGAATTCTTTAATCTAACAAACGTAGCTATAAAAGTCTGTTGCAAACATCATATGTCAAAATGTTGAAGGCTTTCCTTAGTGATTGGGAACAGACAAGGATACCAGTTATCAAGACCTCTATAGGGTGCCTGGGTGGCTCAGTTGGTTAAGCAACTGCCTTCAGCTCAGATCATGATCCTGGAGTCCCTGGATCAAGTTCCACATAGAGCTCCCAGCTCCGTGGGGAGTCTGCTTCTCCCTCTGACCTTCTGCCCTCTCATGCTGCCTCTCACTCTCTTTCCCTCTCAAATAAATAAATAAAATCTTTAAAAAAAAATCAATACCTCTATAGAATATAGAATATCGTATTAGAAGTTGCACCCGATACAATAAGGCAGGAAAAAAGCTACATAGGGTATAAAGATTGGAAAGAGAGAAACTTAACTATCATTATTTATAAGTGATATGATTGTATACAGAGAAAATTTGAAAGAATCTCTAGATTGTTAAAATCAACAAGTGCATGTAGCTGAGGGGCTGGATACAAAGTCAATAAGCAAAAATAATTTTTATTTCTATTACCAGCAACAAACAAAATGAAATCTTAAGAAAGATGCCATTTACAATATCATCCCTAACAATAAGTCTAACAAGAGGTCTGTGGTGCCTCTAAGCAACAAACTATAAAGCATTATTAGAGAAATAAAAGGAGATTACATAAACGGAAAGAAATGAAATGTTCATTGATTTTTGGAAAACTCAATATTGTAAAGATCTCAGTCATTCCCAAACTGATCTATGGATTCAGTACAAAGTCAAGTATTAACAGCCCATTCGATTCTAAAATTCCCATATGGAAATGTTGAGGATAGATTCTAAAATTTGTATGAAAATGCTAAGGATAGGTTCCAAAATTAATATGTAAATAGCTTAAGTCTTAAAGAGAAACAGGGTGGGAGGGCTTGTTCTTTATATCAAGATTAGCTATGGAGCTAGAGTAACTAGAATTATTATTGCAAGAACAGATGAGCACTGGAACAGAACAGAGAATCCCGAAACATTACAATGTTTGTGGACACTTGATTTACACCAGAGGTGGTGCTGCCGGGAGTAGTAGGAAAATGATGTTATTTTTAATAACTGATTTGGGGATATCGGAGAAAAAAATTAAACCTGACCTATATCATATACCAAATGCCCAAATAATTTCCAGATGGATTAATACACTCAAATATGAAAGGTAGGGGCGCCTGGGTGGCTCAGTGGGTTAAGCATCTGCCTTCGGCTCAGGTCATGATCTCAGGGTCCTGGGATCGCGTCCCATGTTGGGCTCTCTGCTCAGTGGGGAGCCTGCTTCTCCCTCTCTGCCTGCCTCTCTGCCTACTTGTGATTTCTCTCTCTGTCAAATAAATAAAATAAAATCTTTAAAAAATATATATGAAAGGTAAAACAGTAAAAACTTACAGGATTTATAATGTAGAATATCTTCATGACCTTGGGGTAGAGAACAATTTCTTAGCCAGGACACAAAAAGCACTTACCATAGGAGGAAACTATTAATAAGTTGGACTATGTTAAACAAGAGCTTATATTTATCAAAAGACCCTTTTAAGAGTGTGAAAAGACAGGGTACAGAGTGGGGGGAGCGTATTTGCAACACAATCAACAAAGGGCTCACTTGCAGAATGTATAAAGAACTGCTGGTCAGTTAGATGAGACTTGAACAAGCACTTCACAAAAGAGAATATCAAAATGGCCTGTAAAGATATGACAGGATATTCATTCACATTAGTAATTGTGAAAATGAAAGTAAAACCACAATGAATGATTCTATACACCCACCAGATTGGCTAAAATTGAAGATGAATTAGCGAGAACACCAAATGCTGGCCTGGGTATGTAGGAACAGGAAGTATAAATTAGTATGTCCACTTTAATAGATAATTCCAAACTGTTGTCCAGAGTTGAACATCTGCATAATAACTGAGCATTCATTTTTTTAAAAGATTTATTTATTTATTAAAGAAAGAGAGCACAGGCAGGGAGAGGGAGAAGCAGGCTCTCTGCTGAGCAGAGAGCCTGACATGAGGCTCAATCCTAGGACCCTGGGATCATGACCTGAGCCAAAGGCAGACACTTAACTGACTGAGCCACCCAGGCGCCCCATAACTGAGCATTCTAATTCTAGGAATATACTTCACAGAAATGGCAGCAAAGAAAAATGCATAGAAATAGTCATAGCAGTCAAATTCACAGTAGCCAAAAATTGGAATCCGATCAAATGACCACTGACAGTAAAAAGGATAAATTATGGCATATGTATACATAGCAGAATTGTATACAATAATGACAATGAACCACAATAGGCAAAACACAAACATAATTTTGAGCAAAAGAAGCCAGGCACAAAAATACATATGTGATTGTTCTAATTACCTAACGTTCAAAAACAATGAAAACCATAGTGCTTGTGGATCCACACATGCTTTCATGGTAAAACTGTAAAGAGCAGCAAGGAAGTGGTTTCAGTAAAGGTCAAGAGGATGATTTTCTTTGGGAAGTGAGAGACCTTATACATTTGTATTGTGTAGTTTTAGGTTTCTCATACTTGACAATAAAAAGATTTAAAAGTTACCTACACGAACAAGATTTTTGCAGGAATTTTTAGAAGCCGGAAAACAAAGTAATGTTCCTCACTTGGCTGATTCAAGAAAGCTAAAGTAAGGGAGAATGCTGAGTTCCAGCACAGAATTCTCAGAAAGCAAAGGAATTGGTAGTAGCAGTTTCTAGAATTGGGAACTATGGGTTGGTGGGAGGAGGGAGATGGTCACTGAGCTATAATAAGTCTAGGCAGAAGCTGTATGAAAAGCAGTTACAGTCCTAGTTGTCCCTGGGCAACTGCCTGTTCTCCAGGTCTGGAGGCTAATCTCCAAAAAAAGTGTACACCGAAAGAATTCCTGGATTAGGGATACAACTGAGGGGCATCAATACCTTGCCCAAAACAGGTGAATTGAGTGGTGAATTGAGTGGCCATGTGCATCCTCAATATTGATCAAAAGAACTCCCTCACACAGGCCCATGCTGATGAATACCTGTAAACCTGCCAGTCAGTGGTCCATCCAGCAACTCGGAGAACCTTTTAGGCCCCCATTCTCAATCACAGGCAGATCCCAAGGATTACCAGCCACCTCAGGAAAGTCTTGTAGAAAATCAGCAACACTAACAGCAAAAAGCAATGTGAATGAACTTGAGATTCTGAAGAAAATATGAAACTGAAAAGGGGAACGACTATAATATATATTATCTCTAAAAAAGAAACAAAGATAGTGGCTCCATTAAACAAAAGCATACGGCTTTATTTATTTATTTTTTTAATATTTTATTTATTTATTTGACAGAGATCACAAGTAGGCAGAGAGGCAGGCAGAGAGAGAGGAGGAAGCAGGCTCCCTGCTGAGCAGAGAGCCCGATGCAGTACTCGATCCCAGGACACTGGGATCATGACCTGAGCTGAAGGCAGAGGCTTTAACCCACTGAGCCACCCAGGCGCCCAAGCATACGGCTTTATTAAGAGATTTGTAGGCTGTTCATTTTGCCCTTTGTTTTTGTTCCCTGTTTTCAGCATCATTTGTTTCCCAAATAATATCTCTTTTTTTGTCCAATTTTATTTGCATGACTTGTGGTGATAGGGTATTTTGGATGACAGCAGGTGTGAATTAATGTAAAACTATAAACTTTTAAGAAATGGAAAAGCTGCTGACAAAAAATCTGTAATTTAATACCCTATCATGCTACCAAGGATGTCTCTTCTGAGCCGATAAAGATAGTAGCCAGCTTCTCTCATTGCATTTCACTTTGATTTGTTTTCTCTCTTCCATGTCAACTTAAATTTCTCTTCCCATATTTCTATCTTCATCTCCTTGTTTCTTGGTGTCTCTTCTCCCTGAAGATCACTACATTTCAAGCTATCGGAAAGGTATCCGACTAAAATGTGCTAAGAGCTTAATACTCTCTGTCTGTCCCACCACAACCTGTTAATTTTATTAGACCTTTTTAGTTGTAGTTGAGTGATTCAGACAGGCTCTCCATCCTCCCTTTTCTGTTTTAGTGTAAATGTTTTCTTTGCACCTGCTATATAATTCTGCAGGATATTGAAAGCTGGAGAGGTGAGGAAGGAGAGACTTTGTTTCTCTTTCTGACTTTTGAGTGCGGTCACCTGGTGCATGCCTGGACCTTGGCTTCTCATGTGTGAGCTGTTCCCTGAACCTTAGATGAGAAAAGGCCATACGATGTTGTTGTAACTTTTTTGGTGTTGCTTTATAAAGACTTTCCCCACCATCATAATTTATATTGCACAGTTGTCTATGGTAGGAAATAACTCACTGGCATGTGAGTAAGTGAGGATTATAGAATGAAAGCAGCCCTCACTAAGTTGAGAGCTAGCTCTGTGTTTTGTTTGCCCGCAGAAGACAACTGTGTGAATCATCACTTGCCATTTGGCAGGCCAAACCCCCGCATCCTGAGGTGGCCCACAGCATTCTCAGAAGAGATCTTTGCTCTAGTGACTGTCTTTGTTGACTCGTGTATGTTTCATTCTTTGCTGTGCTCTGTATTTCAGAACCACAGATGAGTTCCCACCTCTTGTAGGTCCATCCAGTCTGTCTGTGTTGTGACCCCCTCCATTTTTTTCATCTTGCTTTTCCCCTCTTCTGGGTTGTTTTTTCTCTTGCTCCTTAGAACTTCTTGGGATTTTTGTTTGTCTAAACAATCTTAGGCCTTGATTTCTTTTTTAAAATGACAATTTCTTTAACTTAGAAAGATACTTCATCCTGCATTTTTAACAACTAACCTGTTAACAGATTCTTTTAACTCACTGATTCTTTGTATTCCTGAAGGAGGCACTACGGTTCGAAAGGAGGTCATCAAGAATAAAATCAGAGCCATTGGGAAGATGGCACGGGTCTTCTCAATTCTGCGGTAAGGATAAATCTGTCATTACAGTGTGGGAGCAAAGCATTTTGAGAGAAGATTAGAAGCTGAATTCAGAACAGGTTTTTTAGAATTGGAGTTTATATGATTAGATAGGTCTTCAGAGTCAGAGCTAAGTGCACATTGAATCTGACCTCTATGTTAAAGTGACTAGAAATGTTTTGGCAAACATTCCTTTGGTATGAGCTTAAATGGAGTGAATGGAGTGATTTAGTGTGGCTTCTGGAGCCAGGTTGCCTGTGTTCACATTCTAGCTTAGCCTCTTCTTACTGTATGATTTTGAGCCTCAGTTTCCTTGTCTGTAAAAGTGTGATAATAACAAGACCTGTCTTACACAGTTACTAGGAGGGTTAAATGGCATGATATAATGGAAGCATTAAAATAGTACCTGGCTATTAAGTACCTCTAATTGGAAAAACAAGAACCTGCTCGTTGCTTAAAATTGGAATACTTAGAGAAAACCTCTCTTTCTTTGGGTCGGGGAAGGGGGATAGGAAGAAGGAGAACCTTTCCTCCATCTCTGTGCATCTTTTCTTAACTTCCCTTCTAGTATCTTTGTGAACTGTTGAGCAGTAGCCACCCTGACATTAACACGGGGCTTTCAACTTCCTTTGCAGAGAAGAGAGTGAGAGCGTGCTGACTCTTAAGGGCTTGACTCCAACAGGAACACTCCCTCTAGGTGTCCTCTCAGGAGGAAAACAGACTATTGAGACGGGTGAGTATGAGAAATGCTCCTTTCGTGGAAGCCCAGCAGTCAACATAAAATTGAAAATCAGGACTTCTTTCAATAAATGGTACTAGAACAATTGGATATCCACGTGGGGGGAAAGTGAATCTTAACTCTTCTTTATATACACAAAAATCAATTCAAAATTAATTATAACTTAAATATAAAAGAAAAAATAACACAAACACAATATGGAGAGTGTTGGAGTAGGTAGAGTCCTTAGCTAGGACACAAAAAGTGTTAACCTTAAAAGAAAAAAATCAATTAATTAAATTTCATTAAAATTAAGAATTTCTAAAAATACATGTTTAGGAAATGGCAAGCCATTAACTGAGAGAAGATTTTTTGTAGTACATATATCTGACAAAGGGCTTAAATTCAGAATCTGTAAAGAACTATAGACTCAATAAAAAAGCACAAACAACCAATTTTTTTAATGGTCAAAAGATTTTAACAGGCACTTCACAGAAGAGGGTATCAAAGTGTCCAATGAGCGTATGAAAATATGCTTAATATAGTTACTCATCTGGGAAGTAGACATTAAAACCACAGTGAGATACCACTACATATTTGCCAGAATGGCTAAAATTAAAAAGTCTAATAATACCGAGTGTTGGTAAATTTGTGGTGAACAGAACTGGATACATTGCTGGTGGTCATGTGAATTGGTTCGACCACTTTGGGAAACTCTTGGGCAGTTAAACAAAATGTATATCCTACCCCATAACCCAGCAATCCCAGACCTGGTATATTGAAGAGGAATAAGTACATCTATCCACCAAAGGATTTGCATAAGAATGTTCACTAAAGCTTTATTCATAATAGCCCAAAACAGGAAAAAATCCAAATGTTCGTCAATAGTAGAATAGATAAGTGTGCTCTGTTTATACAATGGAATACTATATACATCAATGAAAAATAACATTACGAATTCATGCAAAAACATGGTTGAATCTCACAAATATTATGGTAAACTAAAAAAGCTAGGCACAAAAGGGCACAGACTGTCTGATTTATATGTTCAAGAATAGGTACACTAGCCAAACAGTAATAGAAATCAGAATGGCACTTCCTCTGGTGGGAGAATATTGATCCATAAGGAGAAAAGAGCTTTCTGGAGTAATGGCAGTGTTCTATATCGCTGTCTGGGTAGGAGTTACACATGGGTATTCATACACAAAAATGTATAGAGCTGTGCACTTTAGATATGTGCACATGATTAATGTCTCACATATTGTTTCTTAAATAGATTTATTTATTTTAGAGAGAAACAGAGCGCTTGAGTTGGGGGCAAGGGAGAGAGAGAATCTCAAGCAGACTCCCTGCTGAGTATAGAGCCCTCAGGGGGCTCGATCTCACAACCCTGAGATCATGACCCGAGCTGAAATCAAGAATTGGTCACTTAAATGACTGAGCCACCCAAGCACCCCACTTATGCTTGTTTTATTTTGGGGTGTTAGAATTTCTCAGAGAGGGTGTTTGCCTCTGCCTGCGAGCAGAGTGCCAGTTCTAAAAAGCGTGTGGACACTGTCTTATAAGGAGAGGGCTTTATGGAACCCTGGGATGAAAATATTAATGTTTGTCAGGATAGGCATAGATCTGATCAACCAAGACGACTAATTCGAGGCACAAAAATTGCAGTTGAAACATTAGCAACTTAAACTAGAGTTTCACTGCTTTTTTGCCCCTGGTTTGTTAAATTGTTTCTATTTAAGTTTTTCTTTTTTCTTGTCATTTCATTACTTATAGGAATGCTTTGCTTTTTGTACTAAGTCTGCTGATACTGATTAATAGAAATAAACCCTTTTTTCCCCTTTCTGTTTATGGGATTGAATTCCTCCTTCTCTTTCAAATTAAATACTAGAATATTGGAGTTTAACTATTTAGAAGGAGGAATGAACATTTTACTCCTTGGAAGTACATAACAGTTATGAGACTGATGTGCCACCTACTACGCTGAGGCACCTAGTACATGACTAATTAATTTCTTTTTTTTTTTTTTAAGATTTTATTTATTTATTTGACAGAGAGAAAGATCACAAGTAGGCAGAGAGGCAGGCGGAGAGAGAAGGGGGAAGCAGGCTCCCCGCTGAGCAGAGAGCCTGATGCGGGGCTCGATCCCAGGACTCTGAGATCATGACCTGAGCCGAAAGCAGAGGCTTTAACCCACTGAGCCACCCAGGCGCCCCAATTAATTTCTTTTGGTTCATGGAAAGGATTAGTAAACTATCTCAGGATGAATTTTTTTCTCCCAAATGAATGTACAGTTTCTTGTGAGCAAAATACTTCCCCCATTACTTTGGTAATTAGTCATGTGAGTTACCGTGAGAGCACTTCTGACAAGGCAGGTTGGAATTAGTAGGAACCACTATGGTTGAAGAAAAAGGGAATGTCTTCTACATCCTTACTTGAAAAGTTTTGATAACTTGCTGATCCACAAAGTTGTTTCAGTCTGGACATTGAAAGAGCAGATCTGGGATGAATTAGGAAGAGAATTATATGGATATGCTATTTGGAGATTTGTTTGTTTATAGTCTTTGGTCTGCCTTTTGTTCTCAGTTCCAAGTATATAGTTTCTCTTCATTCCTAATTGGAACATGAATGTTACAAACAAATACAATTTTTTATTGATGCTTTTGAAATTGATAGACGTCTTCAGGAATGCGTAAGAATAAAACTAAGCTGGAGCTAACTTTTTAGAGCTTTTTATGCCTCTTACCGACTGACAGAAAGTGCATTTGTCATTTTCCAATCAGAGTTTTAGTTCTACAAGTTCATTGGAAAACTGGAGCATTAGCTAAAAAAGACCTTTTATTGTTCCTGTAACTTTACTTGGAGAGCTTTCCACCAACAATATCCCATATGGCTTTATAGCATATATTCATTTATGCCTTACCTTGTTTCTAAAGGGATTTGAATAAGTTACAGTATACATATAACACATTGAAGTAAAAATAAATATGCTTGGAATTTGGAGCACAAAGGAAAACAAACAAACAAAAAGCAAATAGATGGCCACAAATTTTACTCCCAAGCTTCCTAGTACTGAAATAAAGAAGATTGCCAGGAACTGAATGAAATTCACGAAGGCCATAAAATAAAAAACAAATGAGTTATAAATTGGACTACATCAAAATTAACATGTGTGCTGGAAATGGAGCCATCATCAAGAAAGTGAAAAGACAATGCAGCCCATAGATGGGTGTAAATATTTACAAATCATATGTTTGAGAAGAAACTGGTATCTAGAAAATAGAAAGAACCCTTATAATTGAAAAATAAAAAGACAACCCAATTAAAAAATGGGTAAAATTGAATAGGCATTTCCAAAGACATACAAGTGGCCAACAAGCATGGGAAAAGTTGCTCAATCATTAGATGTTAGGGAAATACAGACCCAAACCACAACGAGATACCGCTTCACACTGCTAGGATGGGTGTGATCACAAAGACAGATAGTAGCAAGTACTGATGAGAATGTAGAGAAATTCGGACCCTCACACCCTGTTGATGGAGATGTGAAATGGTGCAGTACTTTGGAAACCAATCTGACAGTTTCTTAGATGCTTAAACATGCAGTTGACCTTATGACCAGCTGTTCCACTTGTAGCTATATACCCCCAGAAAACTGAGAACATATCCACACAAAGACTTGTAAGCAGATATTCACACCAACATTTTTCTTTAGAGCTGAGAAGTGGAAGTGGCTCAGACAGCCATCACGTGATGAGGTGGCTCTTCACACAGTAGCGTACTATTCAGTCATAAAAAGGAATGAAGTACTGGTACATGCTTCAACGGGACTAAACCTTAAAAACATGCTAAGTGAGGGGCGCCTGGGTGGCTCAGTCATTAAGGGTTTGCCTTTGGCTCAGGTCATGATCCCAGGGTCCTGGGATAGAGCCCCGTGTCAGGCTCCCTGCTCAGCAAGAAGCCTAATTCTCCCTCTGCCCCTCCCCCTGCTTGTGCTCCTTCTCTCACTCTCTGTCAAATAAATAAATAAAATCTTTAAAAAAACAAAAACAAAAACATGCTAAGTGAAAGAAGCCAGTCACTAAAATCACATATGGTACGATTCCATTTATTTGAAATGTCCAAAACAGGCAAATGTGTAGAGACAAAGTTGATTATTGGTTGGCTCTAGGATTATTGGAAAGGGATTAGGGAGGTAAATAGCATTCTTTTGAGGGTGATGAAAATGTTCTAACTATAGATTGTGGTGATGGTTATACAACTCTAAATATATTAGATCATTGAACTGTACACTTTAAACAAGTGAATTTTATAGTATGTGAATTATGTTTCAATAAAGAAATAAAAATAAATATATATAAATATAAATTAATTGTAAATAAATAAACCAGTTTCTCAGATTTTTTTGTGACTTTTTCTTATATATAATGCCCCTTAATGCAGGTTGGTATCTTTATGTCCAGTGCAAAAAAGCATTCTAGAAGGACCCAAGACAGTGTAATACTAGTACACATTTCACCACATAACACTTAAACTCTAATTAGACCAATAACCTATATACAAATTTCAGGCTATGCTTTGTTCTTCAACTTTGTAACAGCAGGAGTGATGTACTGTTTGAAGGCGCTACCTTTTCTTGTGAACGTTTATTTGTTCTGTTTGAGGAGATTAGAGAGGGTGTGACATTGCTTTACCACAGGCCTACATGTGGTTGGCAAATTTCAGCACTCGATAAATTGATTCCAAGTTTCCAGTTTTCACATTGTGACAGGAAGTTAACTGTCAGTTCTTCCAGTTTCTCCTCTCTTACTGATATCAAAACCTCAGGAACAGCAAACTGTCCTGTTCATTATTTTTCCCTGACTTGTAAAAATCAGTACTGGAGGAACTGAGAGGGTTCTTCTAATAAGATCTTTCTTGCTACAACCTGTAACCTTTTCATGTATTAGGGTTTTTACTGCTTTAAAAAGATGATGCAAGGAAGTTTACCTGTTGACACTAATTTTTTTTTTTTAAAGAGAATCATTTCTTATTTTTTTTAAAGACTTTTATTTATTTATTTGACAGACCACAAGCCCACAGAGAGGCAGGCAGAGAGAGAGAGAGAGAGAGGGAAGCAGACTCCCCGCTGAGCAGAGAGCCCGATGGGGGGCTCGATCCCAGGACCCTGGGATCACGACCTGAGCCGAAGGCAGAGGCTTTAACCCACTGAGCCACCCAGGCGCCCCTTGACACTAATTTTTAAATTACTTCCTTTTCCATCACCAAAGGAGAAGGCCCTCTTAGTAATTGGCCCACTCTCTCCTGCACAGTGAATGGAAATGGGTTGGAAATGGCAGCTTCTACTAGATCTCTAATCCCAGATGGTACAGGAATTTGTATCCGGTATTGAGTACTTTTATGTCTTTGCCTTTAGTACTCCACCCCTGGGCAAGAAATAACCATTTACTTAAAACCCATGTTTCTCTCCTTCCAAATGCTAATCTGTTATTCAAAGGCCATTCCTTTTTTATTAAGTAATTAAAAAGGACAGTTGGACCCCACATAAATTCCTTAGGAACAATAAGTAGTTTCAAGTAACTATTTTGAGTAGGACCTAGCAACAGCACACTTAATGCCATCTGAGCTGTTAGAAACTAAAGAAAAGTTGTAATGTTAAATTATTTGACTCAAGTTATTTTGATACATGAATGTCAAAACATAAATTAGCAGCTGGCTATTTAAAAATGAGGAAAGCAACATAACTTTTGGTTTCCTATAGTCACCTTGACTGACCCATTGTCTTAGCTATAAATGCTATTAGCTAAAAGGGTTCCCATACCACCCGAAATGTTAAAAGTATTAGAAACTCTCCCACATCACATTTCCCCCCAATTTAGTGTTTCATAGTAATCCTCGCTTCTCTAACTAGTTGACCTTTATTATGGATGGGAATAGGCTGAGGTGGGAGCCTGGGTTGTCTGTGCTGGCAGCAATACTGTTGGTTTACTCACTCTTTTTCTGTCTTCATTTTTGCATGCCACTGCTCCTGCCTCTTACAGCCACAGTAGAAGCGGTAGAGGCCCGGGAAGGTATGGCCATATTCCTATGATAGATGTGATCTTGTGTCTGTCTACTAGTTTTAAAGAGCTGTGTCAGCATTTGAAATCGTCTATTATTGCATCACCAGAACTGTAACAGTGAGGAAAGGAATAAATATTTCTAGGCATGCTCACAAAGTGTTTCCTTTGTGTCCCGTATTTGTGTTAATGTAAATGACCCTCTCCATAGCTAAAGTCCTCTGTGGTCTCTGTCAGTTTTAAGGCAATGGCTAAAGCTTAAGCAACTGGTCATGAGGAATCAGGTGGTTTAATCCTGTAGCCCTTCTATATAGAAGTGACTTCTGTGTGATTACTAGAAACTCAAACAGGTCAGCCTCTTTCTCTAATGATTCTAACGATATCAAGAGCAGAGGCAAAAGTGGACTAGGATTTAGTTTGATTTGTTTCTGAGGTTGCCCTAAGGCAGTCAAGCTAAATTATCTCTTTCTCTGAAAACAAATTTTGAGTAACAGGTCATCTAGGAATCTGACAAAGAAAATCATTAGAATTTATAAACTTGTGTTATTAATTTAATTGTGTTGTTATGTAAGGTGGCTCAAAATGGTGATACAAAAGTTCAGTCAGAAGGAAGATATCCAGAAGCTATTATCTAGATGCCTTTTAACTTATATTCAGCTCCTGGTTGTGCCTGAGAAAAAGCTGTCCTTCTAAATGAAAAGATGAGCTCTTTTATTACTTTTTTTGGTCATCAGTATGCTGTTCGTGCTAAAGTTGACTACTCTGTTCAACTTGTTCTGTTATTCCAGTGTTGCCTTTTCTCTTACATTAAGCATGTTTCAGGCCCATAAGAAACCCTTACTCAAATGCACTGAGGTTCAGAATGAACTTGTTAGCCATTTGTCAGGTTTACTTATGCCATGATTTATTGTCCTGAGCTTCTGTGAAAATTACTTGCAAAGTTTCAACTGCCCTATTTGCCATAAGAAGCAGTAGCTTCAAGTGAGGCTGATTCAAGTCAAATGTTGCCCGTTACCTTCACCAGACATGTGCTCCGACCCTTCTATGGTTTTCTCTAGGAAGTTGCTGTATGCTAAAAACCTTCAAGCTTGTTGCTTTGCTGTCTAATCGAGCTCCTCCCTTTCCTCTTTTCCTGTAGCCATCAGAGGGTTTTCACTTCAGCACAGGATCCGGAGTTTTGAAGAAGCCCGAGGTCTGGACCGAATTAATGAGCGGATGCCACCCCGAAAAGACAGCCAGTACCCCGATGGGCCAGTGAAATTGGTGGGCCCTGCACAGTCCAGTGCTGCGCACAGGAGTGACAGGGGGAGAAGAGCCAATAGTGACGCAGAGCCCTGCTGTGGCACAGGTGGATCCAAAACTTAGGAACAAATTTTATTTATTTCTTATTGGAAAACAAAACAAAAACAACTTTAACAACTTAAACCTGGAGGTGCATTCATAATTCACTCTGCATTTATGCTGTAAGAAAGGTGACCATTTTATAAATTGTTTTTAATTTATGTTTAATATATAGAAAAAGTGCATCTGTTTTGTTTTTCCCTTTTTTTCCTACTTTTGAAGAACTGATCTGATTGTCTGATACATATGTGAAGTTCTGTGCCGCAAAGGGGACCTTCCCCTAATAAAAGGGCCTTGGAAACCTCCACCCTGGTTTCAAACTAGCCAGCCTTTTCTCCTATTCTTTTGGAAGGTAATATCTTTCATTTCAGACTAATAATAGTGTTTCAAACATAAGAGGGTGTTTTCCTTTTCCCTGTCTACAGGGTGCCGTTGAAAAAGATTGCTCAGATTTCAGTGGCTAAAACTTCTCTTCTTACAGAAAACTTGATTAGACTAGAACTTCTAAATGAATAACCCAAACCCAGTGGCTTGAGGGCCAAGGAGAATGTTTTCCATATAACCTACTTTCTTCTGAACTCTCCGTTCTTTTTAATATGTTCTATGTTCTAGTAAGGCAGAATAAAAAGCAGTGAGGGATTTTCTTAGAGTTACTCAAAATTTCTTCTTCCAGCCATGGGCATGATGGGTTTAAACTTCCCTTAGAGCTTCGGACATTTGGAACAGTTTGCTTTCATCTTTGAAGCCCAGGTGATGTACCCAACTGCAAAGGAAGCTACAATTCTAAATATTGTATGAATGCCCTCTGTAGAACTCCTGGTAGTAAGAGGTATTTATGTCCTTCTGTGCGATTACATCAGCTCTTGTGTCTGTTCTCCCCATTGTCCTTCTGTTTTTCTATGTAGTGTTTTAAAAACCAACGGGGGTAATGGAAACTGACTAGGGTAGAATGATCCCCTTGTGATTTGGAAGTCTTGCTAAAGGGCATTGGATGACGAGGATTTCCTATATTGTATATCAATTCCTGTGATATACCTCCATCTTTAAACACTCATTAGGTTGAAACTGTATGTCAGTCTCTGTCAGCATATTTTGGAATATAAAAACAAGTGTACAGATACAGTGTCTGAATAGTCTTCTCTTAGTTTTTCAAGTAACAACTAGCGAGGGAAAGAAATTTAGGTGATCCTTGGGCTCCCGTTTTTAGTTTAGTCTGGTGAGTGCCATGTCATAATACTCATTGGTCAACTTTGCAGTGACTGTGCATGTCTGGGTAATACTACACCAAAGTGCTTATTTACAGAATCCTTAATATCATTTGGGAGGTAGGAGTCCAGCAAATTGAAGCAAGCATCCTGACAATAGTGCTTTATGTTAAGTAAGCTTTAAGGACACCAGAAACCTTTTTCCAAAAAAACCCATATAATTTCACTAGAAGAATGAGGATTTAGCCTATCTGTCTCTGTTTTCCTATACCTTTTGCTAACAGTTCCCAGTTTATGACAGAGATCAAAGTATTTTAGGGCTTGGAATCTGGTGTCATGGATTGCTCTGTCACTAAAAAATGGTAGGGAGGGTATGGAGGAAGGAGATAACAGACCTCTTACTGGGTCATGAATAAAACCTACAAAAGGAAAGACACAAAGTCTTGAGTAGTTATCTTTACTGATCATCATTTTTTTATATTCAAAGAGGGAATTCTTCACCTGGATAGCCTCATAGTCCTCCCTCCCCCAACCCCAGTCTAGAAAGGACCACTGTTTTGGAAATCTCACCTAAGATGAAGGTCAGTCCACATGACAGACTTGATGGATGTGAGTCTCCTCTCTTTCTCTTTTCTCCTAGCTGAGGCTGTTACACTTACATAGTCTGCAAGTAGAAACCACTCTTAAGGGCTTTAGTCATCAGACAAGTAGTGAAATAGTTACTGAAAATCCTACAAGCAAAAAAATGCTGTTCTAGTAAAGGGATTATTATTTATGAATGTCTTCATTATCTTCTCAAAAACAAGTTGTACAGTAAAGCAAGGTTCCTTGACAGAGGCGTGGCAAAAGACCTATAAATACAGAGAACAATCTGAGGGTTGACAGATGGAGGGGGATGGGCAAAATGGGTGAAGGTGAGAGGGAAATCCAGGCCTCCAGTTATGAATAAGTAAGTCATGGAAATAAAAGACACAGCATAAGAAATACAGTCAATGATACCATAATAGGGATGTAAGGGGGGGACAGATGGTAGCTACACTTGTGGTAAACAGCATGATATATAAACTTGTCAAATCATTAAGTCGTACATCTGAAATGTAACATGTATCAACTATACTTAAAAAAAAAAAAAAAAAAAAGGATGTATTTTACAGGTGTCCTGTGATCTGTGGAAAGATCAGCCAGAGAGGTAAGAAGTCATGCAAGAAAATCAGAGTGAGTTTATAATAAAGCAACAAGGAAGTTAGGTTTGAAAATTCAAATTCTATTGAATTCTAAAGGTAAATGTATTTCTTATGTTCTATAGAAAGTTGAGGTATATGTTTCAAGAGTTTGGAAAGTTCTGTATAAATGTGTCTCCATGTGGTACATGTAGCTTCTGAAAGTGAGACCATCAGTCTGTACTTTCATCTGTACTTGCACCTGTGACTCAAGACGGTTCAGAAGGTGTGAGCCTTGGGGATATGTGGATATATCGCATATGGATATACATATTATGACAACAGTACTTCTTTTTCACTTTAGATTTCATTGGAGGGTTTTCAGCATGTTTTCGAATGTTTTAATCTAAGCAGTAGCTCCCAGGATGGCTGATTGCCTGTTCCAGGTTTGTCTAAGGCCATCATTTCAAACATTTTAGCTGATGTCAGAGCTCTGCAGTATCCCCATTCTCAAAGCCTCCTCTGTTTTATTAAATCTTCCTCCTGCATGTTTTAAAGATACTAAAAATGCTTTTCTCTTATTCCCCTTCACTTTAAGGTCCCTAGGGACCTTATTTTCTTCAACTCCCATCTGGGGGGAGAAAAACACTTCTTCTATCAGTTCCTTAGACATGTTGCAGGACCCTTTCGTATACTTTACTGAAATATCATTTAAAAAATGACACTTCCCAAGGACCAGTTTTTCTAATTTTGTTTTACATCTATATCATATGGAATTTCAAATTGATTGGATGACTATTTTTTTTAAAATTTTATTTATTTACTTGACAGACAGAGATCACAATCAGGCAGGCAGAGAGAGAGGAGGAAGCAGGCTCCCTGCTGAGCAGAGAGCGCCATGTGGAGGGATGAATCCAGGACACTGGGATCAAGACCTGAGCTAAAGGCAGAGGCTTAACCCACTGAGCCACCCAGGCACCCAGGATGACTGTTTGTTTGTTTGTTTTTTGTTTTTAATAAAAATTTGAAAACTCATCTAACACAAACTTAAAACATACATACTTTTAAAATTTCTGTGTTCTGAATATTTAGAGCAAAAACAACCCAAGAAGCCAAGGGTGTGTGTGTGTGTGTGTATGTGTGTGTGTGTGTGTGTGTGTGTGTGTGTTTAATGGAATGCTTAAACAAAAGCAGCCTCAGTTTTCTTTAAAACCTCAAGGCAAACACTTGGTTATGGGACAGACATTGCTGATTGGCTTGGCTGCCCTTTTTTGACTGGGTACTAACCGGCAAAGTGAAAATTGTGTATCACACTCTGATGGGCTTGATCTGGCTCCTTGCCTAGGGATAGGAAAGTCAGACTCTCCAGGAATATCAGTATTTCTCATATCCTTCTGTCTATATTTACATGGACTTTTCTGTTCCTGCACAAACAGTTGTGGTTCAGTGAGGCAAATTCCTGTCAATAGCAAAGATTTGATATCTTATCCTAATAACTTAGGTATGACTTCCTGACACTGTTCAAAATAAGAAAAGAAAAATCCTTTTATCTGTTTTGCCAACAGAATATTATTATTTAATGTCATTAAGGAGCAAGGGTGAGATTTCTAAAATTAGATAACTTTGGGGCTTTTCAGCCTTGTTTTTGTCCCATAGATCCTCTTCTAAATAATATTAAAACACAAAATTTGAGGTAGCTGGTCTTCATAAGAAAATGTTATAAACCATGCTTATGTGACATGCAGCTGGGTTTACATGGTCATTACTCAAGAGTCTCCAGCCTCTCAGAAGAAGTAAGGCTAAAGTCACTTCCCTCCACCCTCCTTTGTTTTATGTAAATAAAACAGTTTACATTTTAGGGAGGGCTTATCCCAGATGACCTAGTTGATAGTTTTTCTTTCTATTCATTATCAGATTTTTTCCTCCAATTTTTATATTGAAAATTATTTCTGAACCCATGTCATTCTAGAATCCCTAATATTTGCTATGGTTGTTATAGTAACAGTGGAACCCAAGTTTTTTTCAGAACATTATTCAGCTTTTCATACCTAGGCAGAAACAATTTCAGAGGGAAGGTAAACCCAAAGCCCCAGTTATGGGAATGAGTCTCCAATTTCCTAAATAATTTGTGGTTATAATGATGGGTACCATCTTGCCTGGCACCTGGTCCACATCTTTCCTGAAGTCTGCTATTAGAAGGGCAGGCTGTGGGGCCCCAACAGGAGCCAGAGGAGGATCTGGATGACCTGAAGGGTAGTTGCAAGCATTGTGTTGCCTTAGTCCCTCTTCAGCATGGCTCGGATGAAATGCTCCCTGGAAAGAGCAGATGTGTCTAGAGAAAATTGTGTAGTTGGAAAGAAAGGGTTGTTACTCTTGAGTTGTACAGAGAACTGTGTTAACAGTAGAGCTTTGTGCCGTTGCCACAGTGTGAAAGAGGGGACCTGTATTACTCTGAGACTCATGGCCTGCCCTGCATATGTCTAGCCAGCCGAAGTGAATGGGGCCAGGCTTAGCTGCCTTCATCTATGCAGTCACAAAGGTAAAGATGATACTGGCGAGGATATTCCCTCCCGGGAGGCCTTGGCCTCACGCCCCAGCAACCTTGGCAAGACTTGCTAAATAACACCTTTGTCTGAGACAGGGTTATGCATCTTCTCCTCTTCTACACCTCATGACAAGTCAAGGTGGTTTAAGATCAAGAAGCAAGGACATGGCTGTGGACCAGCCCTCTGCGCAGCTCTAAAGTAGGGCCATGCATACTGCCTTCCTGTAAGTTCTTGCCCAGATCCCCTTCACTTCCTTGACATAGCTGTCTCCAAATAACGTTTTGTGGGTTTTGTTTTGGGCTTTTTTTTTTGGCATGTTAAACTGAAAGTGCTTGTAATAAGAAGGAAGCTTACCGCAGATTTTGATTTTCAGCAAGAAAGACAGGTTTTTTGGTCTGTTAGAGAACCTTTTCG